TTCGGAAATTTATATAGTTTTTGACCTTCCTATGACCTCTGCAATCCTATCCATTGACTTTACAAATGTGAGCTAGCATTTTGATAAAAAAAAGACTTACTAAAAAAAAATCTTACTTCTTGTAACTCTATATTTGCATTCCAGAATGAGGCACGTGAAATCAAAATACATATCCACAAAAGAAACAACACATGCTGTCCGATTATCTAGGCTACTAGGAGATCCTTGTGCAGATCTTTTTAGAGACGTTTTGATACACCAAATCACACCATGTACGTTAGACCATCATCTTCATTATAACAAACACACTTTAAGACCGGTCCTAAGCAAAGTCCAAAAAGAACTACTTTACCCTAAGTCAGGAATTTCTATTGGAACCTACGAGAAATTTGATTTTTCTCTTTTATACACTTTACTGCGAAATACAACTGAAATACCTCCTCACCGAAAAGGATGGGGTAAACCACCTGATCTATTAGATCGATCTCTCTCTGCCAATATAGACCGAATAAGAGAGATTAGGAACTCTTGGTCTCATTCAATTAGACTCCCCAATTTAGTTTTCAATAGACTTTGGCAAGATTTGATGGACATATTCGCTGATATTGAAGAGAGCTTTCCAGATGGACTTTATAAGTATACAAATATTGCAAGGATAATGAAGACTGACACCATGGATCCAGAATTGCAAGTGACTTATGAGAAAATTATTTGGATTCAAAAGTTTTTGGACTTGGAGCGTCTGGTTTTCAAAATAATAGAAGGTAATGTAGGCTTATTATTTTAAAATGTATTTCTTTGTCTTTCTTTTTAAGGAAAAGTCAAAGCTTGTTAAGTTTAACTTTATGTTAACTCTACACTGAAATCAGTAAAGTACTGTAAGTATATTTTATTTGGCGGGTAGATTTGAATTAGCGTTTTCTGAATGTGCTTTATAGGAATATGTGAAAAAAGACATTTAGGGATGTATTTAATAAAGCGGAAGATTCTTTCCACAAAAGGGGCTAAAAAACACATCCAAATGTTATACGTTTACAGTAATCTCCAACATTATCTTGATTTTACACAGTAGAAAAATAAGCCTTGAGGAGAGGTAAGAATGCACCACCAACATTACGTTATTTTAATGTACGTATTGTTTGTATGATATGTCATAAGTGATTACATTAGAGGGTGTTTCATTCAATAATTAGGCTTATAACGAAAGGAAAAAGAAAAACTTGGTAATCTTTTAATAAGAAATAATTTTCATTTTCCTGTGTTTTTAGTATGTCTATCTAACGTTTGAAAGCAATTTAACAAAATCTGGTTTGATTTTGCTTTGTAATTTATGAGTTATTGAATAGTGAAAATCGAAAGTTCTCACTATCTTCAATGTTTTAAAAACCTTGACTCTCCATTCAATGGAGTTCCGCAATGTGTTTATACTACAAATATGGATGTTATTCAACGCTTTTAAGAAAGCAGCCCTTAGTTGAAAGAAACCAGCTGGGGCATTTCGAACCCTGCCTATCATCCAAACTGATTGAAACGATGGTAAAAGTGCCGCCGAAATAAAATCAAGTAAACTGCATATACGCGTATATGCGCCAGTAAGAGGTACACCAATGGTGACCAGTTCATTGACCCGAATCACACAACCGGTTTCTTCTAGTTTTTGGGGAATCTGTAATGATTACAATAGCCTTTTCTATTAATAGTTTTTGTTGTAGTATTCAAGGTGGCAATTATAAACATGAGACAACCTGATTGATTGATTGATTGTATATTGTTTAACTTCCCTTTCGAGAATTTTTCACTCATATGGAGACGCCACAATTTGCCGATGGAGAGCTGCAAATTTTGTCCTTTACTTGGCACTCAGGGCCATGGAGCAGGGAGGGATCTCTTTCGTGCCAGCACCTACTGCTACACTGGACCTCGATGTATACGGTCTCATCCGAAGGACCGTTCTCCACGTCCCGCAGTGGAATTCGAACCTGCGACGCCAAGATTGAATCCTTACTTCGCAACTCTAGAGGAGATGCTCTAACCAATGCACCACGCGGAGACAAGATGAAGAACCCAATCGTGGTTATGAAAACGCGTCAACGTCATTGTCATAGTTGGTTGGAAACTATTGTAGGCCCTTTTTGACGACGGGTAAGACGCTCTATCGGGGAACAATTACAAGCACAGCACAAAACCCGTTGTTGCCTATCGTCTGTAAATATTGAACCACAATGTGTACACCCCAAGTGTATCAATGGTAACTAAATTGTAGTAATCAAATTGCACTTGTTTTTGTTTGTTTTGTTATTTTTAGCTTTTGTACACTTTTTCTACGTGACGTAATACATTTCACGTCTGAGAATTTCTGATTTTAGTAGTCAAGATTCTCATCTGACTAGTTTTCGAAATTTTTGATCATGCAATCAAAAGACTTTCGATTATACTATTATAAGATTTTTAAAAAATAAATTATATTAAGATAAGTCATTCCCTTTATAAGAGGCTGTGTAAGCGCCCCACACTAATTGGAGATAATCAGCTGGTGACAACCTTACTAGACCACCTTCCTACTAGAAATAAAAAAACAAGAGGCCCATGGGCCACATCGCTCACGTGATAAGCTTTGGCCATTCCGTTCTTTACCAGATTTCCCCCTTGTAATACATATTGTGACCGCACCCTACCCAACTGATCATAATTAAAACAATTTAAAATCTACACTACCATAGGATGCTTTGATTCAACATTGTAAAACTTTGATTCCCCATTGTGGCCCCGCCCTACCCCCGGGGTCATGATTTGAAAAATTTAGAATCTACACTACCCCAGGATGCTTTTCAGTTTTTCTAGCCCAGTGGTTCTTGAGAGAAAGATTTTCAAATATTTTTCCTATATATTTCTATGTAAAACTTTGATTCCCCTTTATGGCCTCGCCCTATCCCCTGGAGTCATGATTTTAACAATTCAGAATCTACACTACCCCGGGATGCTTCCACATATGTTTCAGCTTTTCTGGCTCAGTTGTTCTTGAGTAGAAGATGTTCAAAGATTTTTCCCATATATTTCTTTGTAAAACTTTGATTCCCTATTGTGGCCCCGCCCTACCCCCGGGGGTCATGATTTGAAAAATTTAGAATCTACACTACCTCAGGATGCTTCCACGTAAGTTTCAGCTTTTCTGGTCCAGTGGTTCTTGAGAAGAGGATTTTCAAAGATTTTTCCCATTTATTTCTATGTAAAACCTTGATTCCCCATTGTGGCCCCACCCTACCCCTAAGGGTCGTGATTTGGACAATTTAAAATTTACACTACCTCAGGATGCTTCCTTATAAGTTTCAGCTTTCCTGGTCCAGTGGTTCTTGAGAAGAAGATTTTTTAATGATCCCATCCTATTGTTGTCTTTTCTTGATAATCTCCCCTTGTAAGGGGACCTGGGCCTTTATTTTAACAATTTAAATTTCCCTTTACCCAAAGATGCTTTGAGAAGAAGATGAAAATGTGAAAAGTTAACAGACGGACGGAAGGACATACAGACAGACGGACGGACGACGGAGAATGGGTGATCAAAAAAGCTCACTTGAGCTTTCAGCTCAGGTGAGCTAAAAATGACTTCAAGACAACCTTTTAATCAGTTCCGATTTATTTTCTTACAAAGTTATGCTTAAAGATTTGTTTTTCAATTTTTCAATGTCTTTCAACATTTTAGATGAAAGCAAGGCAAGTGCGGCTTCATCCCATCAAATGGGACTCGAGTTATTGCCCAACTGGTAATTATGTTCCCCAAACGAAGTTGGGGAACATATTGTTTTTACTCTGTTTCTTCTTCTTCTTCTTCTTCTTCTTCTTCCAGGGAAAATCTTTTCCGCAAGTGATCTTGTAAACTACACGTCCGACTAAGTTGAAACCTTTTTAGGGTCAATAGGCATGTTTTGTAGATTTGCGGAACGAAGGTCATTTTGCGCGCACGTGCTTGCTAGAGCACGCAAGTGCAACACGTGAAATGACCAAAATAATAGATATAACTTATATATTTTTTGATTAATGCTTTGATACTCATAATATAAGTTTATCTTAGTAGTATAGACAAGATGACATGGTCAAAATAGCAGGATCTCACGCGCATGCACGTGCGCTTTGCTCTGATTGGCTGAAACTAAAGTCTCAATATCTTAGTTTCTTGTTTTACGTCATAATCCTCACACATTATGAAGATCTACAGCATCATATATGATAATTTTCATGAAAGCATGTACATACGCGTGTGCTGGCAAGAACGCACTTGTGCAACATGTGAAATTACCAATATAATGGATGAAGCCTTAACTTTTCTAATTTTTTGAAACTCACAATGCATGAATATATTAGTAGTATAGACAAGATGACATGGTCAAAATTGCAAGATCTTACGCGCATGCACGTGCGCTTTGCTCCGATTGGTTGAAACTAAAGTCTAAATATCTTTCTTGTTTTAGTTCCTAATCCTTTGAAATTTTGTACTTAGTTACACATTATGAAGATCTACACATTAATATATAAGAATTATCATGAAAGCACGTAAATCCACGTGTGCAGCAATCTGATTGGCTGAAAGTTTACATGCCTATATCTTTCTTGTTTCTCAACAAAACAGGATGAAGTTTACAATATGAATAGGTATTATGGATTCCTACATGAAACTGCTATCACATTTGAATGCAAGGACGTGCTTGCATGCACTTGTGCACATGCGTAAAATGAACAATATGTTTGGAAAACGGTAAAATTTATATTTTTATGACTTTTTATTGATTTTTGGAACATAAAGATATGTTAATGGTTTAGACAATATGCCATGATCACCGTGCATGTACATGCACGTGCATTTGCGTGCAATGCGGTAGATGACAAAAAGTTGATATCATTGTAGCTTTTAAAATTCTTTTATGAAATTCTGCGATACTGTGCATATTTAAAAAAAGTTTTAAAGGAAATTGGCACTACAAGGGAGTTGGGAAGCGTTTGGGGAACTAGTTAAAAAATTTCATTTGTTGGAAAATGATTTAAACAAAAATTAATTTTGATAATTAAAAAAAAAATCTGTTTACTTTTACATTGCCCTGTTTCGATATGTCTGTATGTTTCTTTTAAAAATTAGGAGTAATCATACAAAACACCATCCTTGGATCATAATTTTTTCTTTCTGAAAACACCTGTCTTAATTTTTGAGGAAAACTATTTTGGTATCTGTATAATTACGGTCATGTATTTGAGAGACTTTATTATTAAATTTTGGAATCACTTTTTTCTCAGAATGATTAAATTTAAGTACATTTATAAACCAATGTAGACATCTGCTTTAGGATCCCAATGGAATCGGTAATGGAGCGTAAAATGCATCGAAAAGAAACAGAGATACCGCCTTATCTAGATGTGAAAATTAATTTGTTGGAAAATGAATCAGACAAAAAAATATTCGAGAAATATCTGGAACAACAGGAAGGAATTGAATTGTCAAACTACCATGAAAGGTAATAAGTATAATCGTGAGAACCTTGCAATTATCTAATTTACTACAGCTCTTTTGCAGTGGAGTCAAGGAAGCTATAAATCTCACAAAATTTCTTCGGTATAACGTTGTTTACAGAAGTGACAATTAAACAAATAGGACAATCATCATGCCGAAAGAACAATATATTGCCAAAAGTTGAAGGTAGAATTATTGATTGTCAAACGAAGAAAATTTTAACATAGGGTATTTATGGGATACAGACTACCAATTGTTTTGCTATACATTCCTTTATAATATAAAGAAATAATTTGAAAAATTACATTGGATCAACTTACATGAAATTGGGCACACAGTGAGAACAATTGAAGTCCAAAAAATTTTAAGGTTTCGGAAAAAATCATAAAATGCAAGTCCTGCTATGGCATCTCAAATAAATAAATCACAAGTATTGTTATAAACTCATAAAACTCTAAAAAGAACAGAAAAGCTTAAAATTAGAAACTGAACCAGGAAGTCATGGTAAATTTATTTTCAGTTTATTATGTGGAAAACTTTATGTGATAGATTGTATGTATGTACACATACCTCTTTTCTATTCAGAGTCAATTTTGTTAGACTGTTGTAAAGGTTTATTTATTAGTTTTTAATTCTCATCTTATACCTGTTTCAGGTTTTCACTTAGATCTTCAAAAGAGCAGTCATCCGAACCATTATTAAGCGATATAATCAAACCAAGTGGTAGGTATCCATTCGGGTCTTTTTGTGGCGACATTAGTCAGACTTAATATTAAATTTAGATTTGCAAATAAAGTGTCCAGTTGCTACTTTTAATGAATTCATTATTTACAGATTGTCATTGTAATGATAATAGTTATATCCCCACTAAAAGGTAAAGGGGTTTATATTGTTTTATCTTTGTGTGTCTGTCCGTCCGTCTGTCTGTCTAGCTGTGTGTCTGTTCATAACAATATTCGTCGCAGTTTTCTCAGCAACTACGCGTTTGAGATGCTTGAAATTTCAGCTCAATCTTTGCTGGGACATGCTGTATGATGGGATTCATTTTTCTTATTTCTCATGTCAATTTCCTGCTTATCAATAATTTTTCCGTTTTCTTCGCAGATACTTGAAATTTCAGCATCTTGTTTGCTGTTGCATGCCATTTGGGGGATTCATTTCGGTACAAATTCTATGTTAACATCCTGTTTACCCGTGCGTCTGCCCGTACCATACATAACAAGGACACGTGCACTGAAGATATACTTAATTGGCCTTCTTCTGTGCCTATCAACTTTGAATATTTTACCGAATCGTTCTCCTTTGGTAATAGGTAAACACTAGTTGTTATTTCCATTAAAAAGCGCCTTAAGCAGCACCACCTAAAGTCAGTATAGATTTGAAACAATTTAATACCGAATCCGAAAAAAAGACGTACCGAACCTACTTTGAGTTTCGTTTATTTAAATCAAGGGTGGATACATTAATGATTTAAATGGACATTTGAACAATCTGAAGGCGGATCATCGACGGGCGCGTTTGCCGAATGTTACTTCTTGTGCTGGTTTACATGTATCTCTTTAAAAAATCGAATGAGATTGATTAGGTGCCTAAATTATAGCGATCAAATTAAACATATTTAACACTTGCATTTAGAAAAAAAAATACAATAAGCATTGATACAACTTTCTTTAGAATTTTGACATTAAGAAAGGGTATTTAAATGAACTGTACATGTCTCATTATGAGTGTTTAAAATGTTGACATTTTTTTTTAACGACACAAAACTCTCTTTACCCTCAAGTGTTCCTAAAACCAAATATATACAAACATCTCTAAGTGGCTCGACTTTAATGATACAAAGTCTGGCTATACAGTGAGCACCTTTTAGGAATGTTTACGTGGGTAAAACTCACATGACTATCAGTATTTCAAATATTTTATTCCACAGGTGGGTTCAATATAGGCAATACAGTGAATACTCTCGCTTACTAAAGGAAAAAACATTCAACTTCTTTTACATTTCTTATATTTTCGGTACTAACCTTATCTTGCACAAACTTCCTACTTTCACACAAACAAGTTATACAAATATATAAAGCGTCTTATGTCATTTGCACAAGTCTGTACAACATTAGGCTCATACAAAAGCCTAGGCCTGGAAATGAATGACCGTTCTCGATTTATTATACAAAATCATAAATTTTCGCTGATCTCTGCCACTTTGTATGATTTTGTTCTTTGTATTTTCATGAATTTCAACATGTTCAATGGTAAAATTTGTTGAATAGTATGGTTTAGATATCAATTAATGATATGAGATGATTTTTTTTCTTTATTTGATTCTTTACTTTCACAATTTACCGAGGCCTATAAGTGTTCATTTCGTCGCTGTTTTCTCAGCAACTGCCAATCGCAGGTGCTTGAAATCCTAGCACATTCTTTGCTGTGGCATGCCATATGGTCGAATTCATTTTTATACAAATCCGATGTCAACTACCTGTTTATCAGTACATCTGTCTCTACCATACATAACAAATTTTTATCGCAGTTTTCTCAGCAACTACTTATCGCAGATGCTTTATATAATATATCAAATCATCGTTTGTTGAGGCATGTCGTATCGCAGATGCTTTATATAATATATCAAATCATCGTTTGTTGAGGCATGTCGTATGATAGGATTTATTTTTGTAGGATTGTGATGTCAACTTTCTTTTAATCCTTACATCTGTCCAAACCTGAACCTTTGTATATTATATCAACAGGATAATGTATATTCAAATCACAGCGGGGATATTACTAGTGAGAATTGGCTCACAGCCTTCTTGTTTGTCTCGTTCTTACAATGCCTAAATAGATGCTTAGCAGTTTCTTCACAGCAATCATTATCTTACGATTAGAATAAAGCTAGACATTTTCTCCTTTTTCAATTTAAAAAGTATTTCTTCTGAAAACACTTAACCTATACTCTTTGCTATTAATAAAAACAACACAATACATGGTTACGATCGACAATTAAGTGTTTCTTAAGAATATGAATTTAAACGACCCCTGGATTGGGGCCTTTTGTGCAGGGTGAGACTAGGTTATAGAGTGAAAAGGCCTTGCTTCTCTTCTCCCGCACATCAAACAAATTAACTCTAGTTGTAATGATAAGCAAGGACGTTTCTCTCATACATGTATTTAGATCATTAATGCAAACTAACTAAGGCGTTTTAGTCATTTTTTGTTTATTCTTGCAGTAAAATTATTAGTGAAAGTCTTTGATGATTCAAGATTTTTATTGTAATACATTGAATATTGAATTTCTTGTTTCGTCATATAAATGTTTTTACTTGAGTTGTGTTTTGCTTTCTTATGAGTGTCAATTTCTTGTCCTGTCGATTTTTTTAAATCCACAAAGTTAAATCCTCAGTTAAATAGTTTTATACTTACTTGTCATATTGCAAATGAATGATTAAATTTGTTTCCTTTATGTACAAGGGTCATTAGGAAAATCATAGACTTTTGTCATAACATTTTTTAATGTCATATTACAACCAAATTTGATACATATATTTTATCAACTGATTCAACAGAACTATAAAAAATTTAAAGCAGCAAAATAAGGGTCATGAAGCAAGGTCAAAATTTAGGGGTTTTTTTTATACTTATTATACACTTTATAATACTTATAGAAATACCTCTAATGAATGACACTTAAAGGAAATTAAATCCTATCAAAATTGTTAATAACGTCATAAAACATAATGTGCGCTTAACAATTGCAAAACTTTTGAAATTAAGCAGAATTACAAGGTGAAGAAATTGATAACATTGACAAACTAACTTAAGCTACTCGAGCAAATTTAACAAATAAGGTGTCAAGTATTAAGGAATCGTTTTTATTCATGGAAAAGACATTTCAAAAGCGTGTATAAAATGAAAAGGCACGGTAAATTTGAGAAAATATGAATTTTCGAGGTTGTTTTCAGCGTTACATTGTTCCGTGATCACTGGTGACAAAAAGTTTTGCTTTTAAGATTGTCTTACACGAGTTTCATATACTTAACTTGAGTGCAACTTCACACATCGGTAAAATAAATGTTTTGCATATGACAATGTGTTTATCTATAATCTTGAAAAAAAATTGATGAGGGGGTTCATATTCTTTGTACTTTTGAATGAACTTTTTTAATCTTCCTTACAAGGTAAGTTTACTGAAGGAAATTAGTTTGTCTATTTGATCACAGATCTTTTTAAAAGGTTTTTATAACTAATCGAAGATGATCAGCTGGTTGCAGCAGTACTGAAGAATTACTTTTTTAACCGAACGGATCAAAATTTCTTTTGAAAAACTTTTATCAGTTCCTTTCAGTTTCCTTACGATATTAAGCGTAAAGAATTTATTTATCTATAATTCATTATGTTGAATTACTTCAGATCAAACACAGAAAATGCAGGACTCGGTAAAAAAACATAAATTCCACGAGAAAGAAACACAGATGCCGCCTTATATGGACGAGGAAATTAATTATTACGAAGACAAAAAGATAATGGAAGACTCTCTGGACCTACAGAAAGAAACTACATCGTTGAATCACCCTGAAAGGTAATTGCTTTATATATTGTAATTATTAAAATAGTTTTCTTCTGTGTCAATAAGAAATGCTTTCATAATTTTTCTCATCTTGTATTTTAAGAAATTTTGACATTAAGATGAGTTATACGAGATTTGTTTAAATAATATATAATTATAGTCTTTGATGAGGTCTATCCTTAGATATACAGACCTTACAGAAAGCAAATCGACCGAGCACGAAGTGCAAGGTCGATATGCTTTTTCAAAGGTCTATTTATCTAGGGAATGTAGTTAATCAAAAGGCTACAATTGTTTACCTTGTTTGTTGTGCCAATCAGATAGTTGGGATAATAAAGAAAAATAATAAAGCTTAATATTGTTTTGTTTCGATCTGTCTGTATTTCCTGTTGAAAAAATTAGAAGTACACTTACAAAACAAATCATGATGATCATAAAGTTTATTTCTGATACCATATATGACTTGTGTTTCTAAAAAATATATTTTATTATCTAATATTTACATTTCCAATGTCTTTGTCCGAGATAAAATTACCAATTGTAAAAGTAATTGATTTCCTCATGAATGTTTTGGCGCGGTTCCAAAAAAAACACGTGCAGGGCGGGACAACACCTAGAGAGAAGCAGGCTTGGAGCCCGTGGATGGGAGGAATCAAAGCATGTAAATATAAGGAATAACTGTCACTTAATTGGCAATAGCTTGGAGTGTAAATTTGATGATTCTTCTTTTGCTGTTTTAGGTTTCCACATCCTTTATCAAGAATGCAGGCATCCAAATTCTTATCAACAATGGAAAAAGAATACTATCACCGTATTTTGAAATTACTAAAAGATACATGTTTAAATCTTTTCCGAGTTCTTCTTAAGACCCATTTCTCAATAGGAGAGTTTTCATTGATTCTTAAAATGTACAGAACACCTTTTATTAATATTCTTAATGAAGCTGAAAGAGGATTGTTATATCCAAAGTCGGGGATTATCATGGTAAAATTTAACGACCTTGATCTTCCTCTGCTGCACAAATTATGTGAAGGACTCCCATGGAAAGATTTAATATATTACGCTTGTGACCAAAGCTCTATTTACAGAATTAAAGAAATACTGGATTCTTTTTGTGAATATCAGAACAGGATGATACTTTCTGATCAAGAATTCCATATGCACTTGGATGACATTCTGCACAAAATTCATGGATTAGAAAGAGTTATTCCTAGACATAAAACAAAATACAGAGAGGCACTGTGTATAATTAGAACAGGCATAACGGACCTTGCAAAGGAAAAGGGCTTTATAAATTCGACTGCAGAAAAATTTCAATGTACAGGTAACAAAAAACTTCTAAAGGTATCTTACATACAATACAATTGAAGCAATAGGGTAGTAAGCATATGACAATGAAATTAAACATTTTCAAATTGAAGTAGTGAATAGAAATTTTAAGTTAAATATTCAGTGTTTTGCCTTGTTTTAATTGCCTGTAATCGTATGGTTTTTTTAATTAAATAGTACAATTATGTTTTTTTTATTAAATAGTACAATGTATTTTGTAAATATGAAAGCGTATAATGGCATAATCGTCTCTTTTTGGGTGGAAATCTAGCTTTATTCAAACAACATATAAAATCTAAAAAAACTCTGATATGTCAGGGTAAAGATATACCATGTTAGCCAAAAAAAGTGACATGTTACAAAACACGAAATTTTTGACAAGAAAAAAGTTTCCAACCAAGGTTCCACATTTAGGCGATCTTTGATATACATGTAGCTTTATTTTCTGTTGAAATTCAGTCTAAATTATGCAGTGTTTGCAGTGAAAAACTTTGATAAAAATTGCATTTCCCGTCTGTTTATGAATTTAGAATGAGGACTGTCCCAGAAAAAGCCAACATTTTTGAACATTTCAAATACTATTCATTCAAAACCTATCAATTTATGCATGCTATTCGCAAATTGTTTTTTTTAATATTTGAAAGAATATAATAGGTCTTAGGTCATATGCATATATTTACATTTGCCAGTGTCTTTCCTTATATGACAATACTAAAAAAATGAAATTCAATTTTCGATGACATGCAGTCGGTCACATGATCAGACTTTCTTGCGTCTGGAAAGCAAACTGCACGTGCAATTTTGAAAGTTCCGACTGTGACGTCACATAACGTCGTAGTAACGTAACTTTGCATTTCAAAATCTAAGTCTAAATAATGCCTATATATTTGTTTGTAAAATGAATGAAAACGTAAAATATAAATATAAAAAATAAAATATCATTTTTAGAGTTGCATTGGGGTATGACATAAAGTCGGTACATGATCAAATCTACTATTCGGGTGTTATAGAATTCGATCACGTGACCGACTTCATGTCATACCCCAATGCAACTCTAAAAATGATATCTTATTTCTTAAATAAAGTCAACATTTAAAAGAGTATCCGTGGTCGGTGCATGACAATTTTTTCACTTTTATTAATTATATTGTCAATGAATTTTTCTTTGTAATTAGACTGGATATATAGGGAAATAAAATATCACAAAATTTACCTACGTAAATACACATTAAATTGGTACGACGATATATGTATGTGCCCAAACACTTTAATTTAGATATAGTCAAAAATAGTGACTTTGGGCGGTAATATGGAGCACCATAGTATTAAGAAACACTATGTTGATAAGATAATAACTCTTGTACATTGGAAAAGAGATGTTAGTGATGGAAAAACACAAATATTGGTATTGAAAACGCAATTATCTCTAGTTGAAGGGGTTTGAGGTTGACTTGCATGGTAATCCGATAGGAGAAAATAAAATACTAAAATGAAGACGACCTGAAAACACAGAGACAGGACGTCTTAACCTCTGTTGAACAATTCTATCAGTTAGCTTTATGATCAGGTTTACAAAATTGTCTTTTAAAAGAATAAACGCCGCAATTTCTTGGGAAAACTAATATTTGAAATGTACAATTTGACAACTAAAAGAAAACTAAATACAGTACTGTTTCAAGAACAAAGTCACAAAGACTAATAGCTACATTTTGACGTCGTCAATGTTGCGCCGCCAGCTTGTTAGTTAGATCCGTTTAACTGAGAGGGAAATATTATTCATAAATATAGACATTTCATTGTAATTTTTAGGCATTTTCCAAAAAAGGTTGATCATGATGTACATGTATGCTAATTCTATCTTGATAGTCTTAGTGAAACAAAAGAAGAAATAAACAACGTTATTCAGTGAACATGGCATTATGAATAACAATTGCTCTGCTGACATATTGCATGATGCGCGCTAGTGCATCATGGAAAATATGCAAGAAGAGCTATTACATTGCTATTCATAATGCCATGTTCACTGAATAATCGTTGTTTATTACTTATATTTGCATTCTTTAAAATTGCAAGAATAGCAGAGGTAATCCTGTCTTACATAAGGATGCGGGGTATTGGTTTCAGTGAAGAAAAACACACGGCTATAAAATCAGCATACCTGATCATTGCACCTTTTCTTTAATAAATTACAAACAATTTATGAAGTATTCCTCTTAAACACAGTTATCTGGATACAAACTGCGACGTCGTCACATTCTTTTAATTTTTGTTTTGATGCAGTTGTTACGTCATCGATCAACGTTATTGAAATCCTTTGAGTAAAATCACGCAATAATTTAACACTATGATGAAAAAACAATGCTTTAATTAAGATTATAACTCCTGAATGCTTTCTATGATTTTTTAAGTTCTTCTATTTATATTTTTAGTAGAAATCCTTCTTGAAATAGATATACTACTATTCAAGAAAAGTTGATGTCAAAACGTCCAAGTGTGAAGAGTTATCGTTCTTTGAACAAATATGTAAAAATATGATGAGAAGAAATAAAAATCTGGCAGTTCTCTTCAATTTTGACATAGTTTTATTATACAATTAAGAACATTGACCAAAATTAAATTCTTATATATATAAATTAACAATTCTAAATTATAGTGAATTTCTTTTTTTCAAATAATATTATTAAAAACATATTTATTCCGTTTAGCAAACATTTCATATATATACTTCTGAACGCCTCAAAATAGTGTAGAAGAGCTTATACTAGACGGGTGTTATTTAGAAATTGCACTGCTAACAAAAGAAGAAGTTACGTCTATAGTCCTATGAACGCAATTGAGGTCTGTAGGTTCATAGTGGGGGAATGTAGATAGTATGCGAATACATTGAAAATGTTTGCGTTTTTCTGGGACAACATAATAAAGTAGCGAAATATATTTTCATGAAAAGCATGGATGTCTTTTCCAAACTTTAGAAAACCATAGCCTGAATCAGTTGTTCTGAATTAAGGAGGAGGTGCTTTGGAGAACATATTGCTGATACATTTATTTATATATTTTGAAAATCTTTTTCTATGCTTTTTGAATACGAAAGCAGCCGAAACATGGCTATGCATCATTATGATCGGCAAAAATACCTGTTTAAGAATTGTAAATTTCGTGGTCCATGGCACATGGAATTTCATAAAGGGTGGGATTCTTTTGATTTTATGATGTGAAACGTATCATAAATCACATATTTTCTCGGGGACAATTTTTCATGGTTTGAGGAAAAAATTGGGGGATTTATTTCATGGATAGAGAACTCCTGATTTGTTATGTACATAGAAATGGTACATTTCTTCGTGGATATGTATTCTTCGAGAACAACGAGAACAAACTTAGAAATATATATTATTGCACAGCAGTCGGACATTATGGAACTTTTTCAGCATCACATTTAGTTGTCAACGGCGTTATGAAAATCACGAATCACCCTAACTGTCGAATTTTGCTGCAGGAGGACTTACTGAATTAGCATCAGCAAAAGGCACAGCTAATTAGCATTAGTCATCGAGTTTTAATACTTCTTCTCTTAGACATTTTTTGTGTTAGTGGGAAACAATAAAGGAAAAGAAATTAAAGGTTAAAAATATAATATCATTCATTTTGATGACATAGAGATTAAAAGAAACTCTAGCGAAATAGAGAATCTTTAAAATGTTGCACCTGAAAACAATTAAAGAATGTGGCAATTATTTATTTTAGGAAATGAAACCGTTCTAAAGAAAAATGTATTTTTATTCTAGAAAACAAAAGAAAAAAATTGTCCTGAATACTGCCCAGTCTCTGATTTATTAACATATTTTCATGTTTAAAGGAATGACCATGAGAAGAAGATCTGAATCGAAACTTCAAAGAATATTAGAGGTACTCGGTTTTAAGAATGACACCAGGGAGCCTATACAGCCCGGTTCCAATGAACTACAGGACAATATGAAATTCCTTACAAAAATTCTAGGTGAAGTTTAAAGAAAAGAATAAACCGTACTAAATTAAGAGAAGTTATTGTCTCATACAATCTATGTATTATTGAAATTGAAATACAAATGTATGTATCATTCAAATTATTTTCTCATACGCATGTATATACATCGTCATTGTATGTTAGGTGAGATAATCGTTATAAAGCAAAAGATGATGACACAACTTAACCGATGACTTGATTTTTTTTTTCATTTGATAGTTTAAACGAATTTTGAAAATGCAGGGGAGTAAGATTCTCTAAAGTATTATCGATACCATCTGTCAGGTTCATATGTAATATATATTAAACATCTCCGTATACCAGGGTCATTCAATAACTAATGCAACTTACAGTTTATCATAATAATTAAAGATGTATATAATTCGATTTTTTACAATTGAACACTTCTATTAAGAAACTGCTAATCACAGAAACTTCTTTCCCTTGTCCAATTGTTGTCGCAAAGAAAATTACTTTTTAAATAATCTTGTTCACTTCACTGGGCTGTAAAAAAAATTAAAAAAAACTAGAGGTACTGTGAGCGATGAGCTCACTAAATGATACCTCCCGCCCCCATATAGTTATAATGGCAAAGTCCATGTTTTGCTGTGATCGGGCAACCCAAAATATGTGTCGGATCAAAAAGTAAAATAGGAGGTCACAATGGCAATATATAATAAAGATTCTATGAAAGTTTCATAAAATTTGATTCAGTGGTATGAGATGAGTTGCGGATAAGAGATGGGTACCCCAAATCGTAACAGACGGACGGACGGAATTACCGATTACTATATGCCCTCTCGCTTTTCAAGCGGGTTTATAAAAAGATATGAAAATTAGGGCCCTTTGTGTAAACTATGCTTAATTACATAAATAGCTTAAGGATCAATATAAAAGATAAAATTTTGATATGTGGAAAGTCTTTTAAGCTGACAAATGAAATGAATGGACCAATAATTCTTTTATTTTGGTGCCTTATTATTTCCTTAAATTTCAAATAATTCAATTTGACTTGAGAAACTACATAGTTTTTAAATGTGTTACAAATGATAAAATTTCAGCAATTCTAAAAGATAAAAAGTCGGAAACTCTACTAACACATATAGAAGACAGCATGGAGGACATTATTCTTTGTCTAAATGGTGAAGAAGCATCGAATATATTGAGCAATGACCTCAGATCCATATTGGGTATTATAGGCGAGTAGTTTAATTCTTTAATTTGTAACTATTGTTTTAGTTGTTAACTATTTACTATTTGGACATTTCTTATATTTGTCATCCTTATTACTAGGTTCTATACCTTGCTTGATTACCCAGATGTACCATGATGCTCACAAGAAATCTTTGATTTTCTATTTCAGAAACATTCCACATGGATGAGGTTCTCTGCAGACTATCAAAAGAAGTCCAAAATAGAAATAAGCGGATTGTTCAAATATACGGCGGACGAGAAAGAGCAGAGAATTTAGACAAGAAGGTTATCGTTATTGTTTTTGATGGTTCAAATGAATTTGATTTTGACACTTGGGAAGGGTATCCTTTAAAATGGAAACAATGGAGATGTCCACCTGACGAAGGGGCTATCGTTTCTGGTCGCGAAAAATCTGAATCATTCGATGAGGTAAAAGTGTACGAGATAGAATCCCTTCTAAGAGATCATGCACGATTGCTGTTCAAAAATCATTCAAATTTGGAAGTGTCAAGCATATCGGCATACCGCTCTCAACAGAATGGAAATATTTTAGAAAAGCAATGGTGCATTGCATTATATTGCTCATGCAAAGGGGTAGTGCCTCTATCGGAAGAAGAATTTCCTAGTTCAATTGAAGGATGTCCAACTGATATCAGAGAGGGGTTCTTCTATTGGTTTCCAAATAATACAGGAAAGGGATTTTCGAAAAACCCAAAGGATGTGCTTCAACCATTGGTAATGGGTTGTAGTATTGGAGGCAAGGGTAAGTTATGAGTAAAATATGCATTTGAAAAACTTTAAATCACCTCCTCTGAAACGAGATAAACTTAAAAACATTTGGATTTGAATGATTATGACCATGAGATATCATTAATCACGGCTCTGTTTTTCCTTTTGTGAAAATCTTATTTTATTCTGGTGCAGATTTTCAACTGTAGCGCTAACCTTCTTCTTTCTTTATTTTTGCGTGTCTTTATTATGAATATATTATTATTATTTTTTACTCATACAAAATTTTATTCAAATAAAGTGAATGGGATTGGGCAGCAGGCAGTTTTTCAAGAGAATTGATTGATTTACTTTAGCACCATGAAAATGAAAACGATAATTTTTATATCGCATGTGTTGCTTTTCACGAAATGATACAATAATTAATTCCTAGCGTATAATTAGAAATTAAAAGTCATCTGAAACCATGTCGTGCATATTCAATCTGTTTAAGTTAATATTTAGATAACTGAATTAAAGATTATTTTTTAAGAGCATATTAATAAAAAAAAAGAAATGTTTTGTTAAGTTTTTCTCTCTCTCTCTCTCTTTTTTGGTTTGGATAATGCCATTCACTCAGGTGATGATTAGACAATTAAGCCTATTTCTGTTAGAAAAGTCACTTCAGCCACTTATAAATGAAATCTAGAGAACAAAGTTATATTTACGCAGTTATGATAAGGCTGTCCGAAGGCTTAAAAAGTCTTAAAAATATACATTTTATTATGACCCAGATTTTAATTTCAATGTGTGATCCTTGTATGAAATTGCAGTCAACTTGAGATAAGAGTTTAATAAGGTATTATAATTAAGCATTTCTGTGATGTCAGATGACTGTGTTGATCACGTGACGGACATTTTTGATATTCTTAAATGCTGCACAAAAATCGTTTCCGTACAAGTGCAAAACAAAATTATTATGCAAAGTTTGTTACATAGATCAATTCATCGTGATCCCTGGTACATAAAAAGTGTTGGGGGCGGGTTTAATTTTCACTTCTTAAGAAAATATTTTACGATAAATTGAAATTACCAAAGTAAGAAGGGGTATTTTCCACTCTTTATCGCGATTTATACAAAAACGGATAAACTACATACGATCCCCCAGCAAATTTCAGCTAGAAGACATACTTCTCTTTTAGATTCACGCAGAATATCTTCATTTTATCCTTGTCTTTCACTTGTGCCAGTCCTATATAAACACGATTAATAAATTCTAACTCTGTCTACAGAAGTGTAAGGGGAGCGTTTCAAACATATTTTTTGCTATTGCTTGAATATTTGCATATCGGACAAGCAAAAGGAATAAAGATATTTAAATGTTAAACATTATAACAGCACACACGAGCTTGAAAATCAACCCTTACTCTTGAATTAAACACAAGTCCCCATAATAAATCTACATGCCGTGTAATAATTATGACACCTTCCCCGTCATGTCAGCTCAAGTATGCAGTGACTTGACGCCATATTCTATTATGACGTCATATCTAAGTAGTTCAGGGAAGTTACTACAGTTTGAACAGTTTGATATTTTACGTGCAGCTTTATCCTAGCTGCGTACTGGAAAAATAAAATTATGACAAAGAAAAGATTTTGGGGAATTTTTAAGGGCAACTATAATTTTATCAACACCAAAAAGCTACTCACCTTAAACACAACTCATAGAAGAATTTAAATCTTGTATTTAACATACATTTGAACAATTTGATATATTTTACTGAAAGATACGAATTTTGTCCCATTAGAGTGTCAGTTAAAGTACAAAGTAGTTCTCTGCTCCATACATTGTACGGAAATCCAGTTGGAAATTTCTTTAGGTATTGCATGTAGAATTAATTTACAATGTACCCTTTTTTGCTTTAAGAAATAGATTACTTATAGTCCACAAGCTTTGCATAAAAAAAACGCAGAAGATATTTTAAGTTTTCAAACGTGATATTTCTCAACATAAAAGTGAAAATCATATACACAATTCTGTGAAGATGCACTGTGTATACCTGCTATCATTTATTTATTTACTCATTTGTATTTCCTTATTTAACACTATATAAGGACTACACAAGATTATTTCAAGTAAAGTTTTCATGAATATATGCTGAAAACACAGTCGTTATATTTACCAAAACATTGATATAGACGTAACACTTTCAATTCCGACATTGCAGACAAAAATTTGGAAGGAACACTTGGAGGTTTTGTTTCGTTTGAGAACGGTGCTGGCCAAGAACGAGGTTTTATAACAACTGCTCACACATTCTTCGATCAACCCCAAACATCCAGCATAGAAATTGTTCAACCAAGTTACGGAATTCAGAATGAAAATAACGTCTGTGGTGTACATGTTAAATCTGTATTTCCAACACAGCAAGATCAGTACGGTGTATCAGTCGATGCATCATTAATAAAACTCACAGAACGTTTTCCTGACAGGGGTACATTTTCTGGGTATACAGTTGCAGACTTATCAATTTTAGGTAAGTATAGGTCTAGAAATATTTTCAACTGCTTCAAAAATGCATCGTGGGGAAAAAATAACACAAAATCAAAATTTGTGTTAAATGGTAAAAACAAAACATCAATGTATATTTTTTGTAGGGTTTAGTAAAGAAAAACCACCAGAATATGACACGGATGAAATTAGAGATTATCGAAATAACAAACATGTGAATGAAAGAGGTAATGCATGCTGTAAAAGTGGGACATCATCTGGATTTACAAAAGGATATTTGAAACTGAATGGATTGGCGGTTAAATACCATGATCCGTCCATTCCTTTCAGCAATTCTCCTTCATTTTGCGGTTTTCACTACTATTCACAACTGGAAATCAACCATCTCAAAGGATTGAAGGATTTTGCTCAAGCGGGGGACTCAGGGGCATTAGTGTTTCAAATCGATCCTCAAGGATGTGATAAAGATGACAAACTTGTATGCATTGGAATGGTTGTAGGGGGAACATCTTTTGGTACTACTGTTGTTACACCAATTGCTTCTGTTTTGGATGAGTTGAAAGTCAAGTTCTTACCACTGAAATTGGAAGCAATGGAATGTTGATTATAAGGAATGGTCATTCTCAATTAAAGGATGCATACAAACATCTAGATTTTAAGAAGAAATATATTTTAATGTTCATAAAATTAAGCCGAATTTTTTTTTTTGTGTAATATATGCGTTGAATAAGATTTTCATTAAACTCTATACTGTAAACCAACTTTAATTCGCGTGCGAATGATATTCACGAGTTTCACGATCTACTTTAAGTCGCGAATATTAATTGCCGTGAACCATTTATTTTTCTTTATTTTTCGTGGAAAATGTTCCTTTTTCCTGAAAAAAGAATCGTCGCTGATTGATTTCAAATTGACTAATCGCGAATAAATGATCACACAGAAAATAGTTGATTTATTGTATATTACAGTGTTAAACGAGAATATATCTTAAGATAGACACGTTACAGCGATTGTATTTGGATCTATGGGATATATATGTCTTTTTTAATAAGTAACCTGTATTATTTATATCTGCAGCGTTTGGTTGAAAAGTTTTTCTTCAGTGATTGCAAACATTATATTTTGTGCATCGATCAAATTATATTGTTAACGTATTATTTGTCGTGAAAATTGAAACTGTCATTTGTAAGGTATAAATTTAACAATCAAATAACAATAACCTAATTTACCGGGAAATGGGGAGATGGGTGATAACCATAACTCAACTGCAAGTATCAGTTTTGGGAACTTTACTTAACAAAGAGTTTTCAAAATAAAATTTGATTGTTCCTTTGCGAAATAGAGGGTATATTGACATTCACAATAATGACTCACCTTTATTTAGAAACAATTAATTTAGATCCCAAAAAGGGATTCTAAATTCGATCCCAATTCATTCAAAATTTCATAATTCAATCTTTGAGAATAAGTGGAATGAATATTCTATATCGATGATAATTCAATATGGAAATATAAAGTTTCAAAATTCTCAATATGCATGACAAAAAGATTGCAGAGTACAAATATTCACTGCTTAATTGTCTGTTACAAAAATAATAATGCAAGTGTAAGTAAATGGAATAAAAATGAATCACCACTGTGTAAGTTAGGTAATATATTAGAAGAAACTGAATAATTATTTTCCTGTGCAATTACACATTTTAAAGAGAAAAAAAGGATATTTTTAATTCAAAGTTGTATGGAGAGGCAGCATGCGGGAATTTAAAAACGAACATGTATTGTGAATATTCTAATTTCATTTTTATGCTTTACAAAATATAAATGTTAAAGAAAATTTGAATTCAATAATGAAAGAAATGAAAGAAAGAAAAATGAAAGAAAGCCAGAAGATAACTATATCTCAGGGTTAAGAATTCTCATTTTGCATAACTCTGAAACTAAATACATTTGTAAATATGATAGCTCTAGCACTATATTATAAAACTCGTGTTAATTACGTATCTGTAGCATCTTACACAGTCACCATGATGGACAATACTGGTGATGAATTAGACTATTTCGCTACCCGGATTCTATGTTGTTTTTTTTCTACATATTATTCATTGTATGTCTTTTGCATTCAATTAAACTTGTTTTCTTTTTAAATTTGCTACAAAATACCACTGTTCTAGTTATAGAATGTGCTATATAAGAGACGGTTTGTTATGTAGTATATGCATGATACACATTTTTCTATATATAGATGTAAGATTTTTTAATATATGGTCATAAAAGATGAATATTAATTGTAATAATTAATATAATAAATCTACAACAATGTGTTTTATGATACATATGATTTAATAAAAGAAGGGAAAAACTTACATGAGGGTCTTCTTCATCAGTCAACGTCCACTGACAGACACTGTGACAATCTGGGAAATTGATATGCACAGGATCTCGCCCTTTCATTCATAATAAAAAGGCATTTGAAAATAATAAAAATATTTGAGAAACATATTAGATTAATGACAAACTCTGTCTGTTATTATTATTATTTTTTAATTAACGTTCTATACCTTTGCACTATCCAAAAATATACTGTTCAGTATCAACAAGTTTGTGAACTAATTGTGGAATTCAATGAAAAGGCCTATAAAATTATTAGAGCCTGCCTTCATCCTTTTCAATCATTCAATTGCTCAATTAAAAATAAATATTTGAATTATAATAGTGATCTAAGATATTTAGCAAATCTTCAAATGAAAATAATTTATTCCTTATTTTAAAAGAAAAGAAAAAAAAGATGTTATAACAACTGTACATTCAATGTTAAGAGTCGTTTTCTTTATTGACTTGAATTTTTTATTTAGGAGCTGTGAAACGCAAAGGTTCAGGGTTTCTCCAATCCCCTTTTGAAAAAAAATCTTGAATACCAAAACTCAATATTAACTAGTGCTAATTGTAACGGGGACCGTTACAGATGTTCCCCAAACGCTCCCCAACTTCCTTTTGGTTCCACATTCCCTGTAAGCTTCATTAAATAAGACAAACTCTATGCATTTGAGGCTTTAACAACATTTACCCAGGAGAAAGTACCAAGTTCATTCAAATTTTAGAATTCCACGCGTGCGCATGTGAATGCATGTGCGTAATGACCATATCATCTTGTCTATACAATCTTAATATTTTAATATACTAAATATCGAAGTAATTAATCCAAAAGTATTAAAAAAATACTCTCATTAAACTGTATTTTTGATTTTACTCATTTCACGTGGAAGCACGTGCATACATGAGCATGATGACCATACCTTCTTGTAGAAGTCCATTACATATATCTAAGTTCTAAATCCCACCCCATTTGGTTGAAAACAAAGGGAGTTATAGCTGTTTAAAGTTTCAGCCAATCAGATTGCAGTGCACGTACACGCACATGTATGCATGTGCATGATGACCATACCATCTTGTAGAAGTCTATTATATCTATCTATGTTCCAAATCCCATCCTGTTTGGTTGAAAACCAAGGGAGTTATAGCTATTTAAAGCATAAGCCAATCAGATTGCAGCGCATGTGCATGTACGCTTTTTCATGATAATTGCTATATATTTTATTATAGGATATCCTAATACATGCCTATGTTTAAAATTTCAAAGGATTTCGTCAAAAAACAAGAAAGATAATGAGACTTTAGTTTCAGCCAATCAGAGCAAAGCGCACGTGCATGCGCGTGAGATCCTGCTTTTTTGACCATGTCATCTTGTCTATGCTTCTAATATATACTTATAATATGAGTTTCAAAGCATTTCATCAATAATTTAAATAGTTACGTCTGTATCAATTATGTTGGACATTTCTCATGTTGCACGTGCCAGCTCTTGCAAGCACACGTGCATGCACATGCTTTCATGATAATTCTTATATTACAGGCTGTAGATCTCCCTAATGTATAACTATGTTCAAAATTTCAAATGATTTTATCAAAAAACAAGAAAGATACAGAGACTTTAGATTCAGCCAATCAGAGCAAAGCGCACGTGCAAGCGCGTGCAATCTTGCTATTTTGACCATGTCATCTTGTGCATACTACTAATATATCCTTACATTATGAGTTTCAAAACATTTTGTTAAAAAATAGAAAAGTTACGGTTTTATCCATTATATATTGGTCATTTCAAGTTTTGCACGTGCGCGCTCTTGCAAGCACGTGCGCGCAAAATGACCTTGATTCCGCAAATCTACATAACATGTCTACTGACCCTAAAAACATTTCACCTAAATCGGATGTGTAGTTTACAAGATCATTCGCGGACAAAATTTTCCCGAGAAGAAAAATAATAATAATAATAAGAAACAGAGTAAAAACAATATGTTCCCCTACTTCGTTTGGGGAACATAATAAGATTGGTTGTCATGGTTACTTGCCCGTAAGTTAAAAAAAATTGCATTTATGAACATGTTAAGAGCAACGTTGTAAATGTTTACAGTAGTTTGAAAGAAGGTGAAAATAACTGTTTTCGAGAACTGCAAGATTGATGTTTGAAATACATGACAAACTTATTTGTGAAACCAAATATTACATAAGTCATGAAAAAAAGTTCTTGTTTTCTATCGCTCTGCTAAATTTTAGTTTTTTTAAATGTTAAGCTATAAATAGAATTCCAAGTCACGACTTCTGTAGTTCGAGGTAGATCATTCACACCAGAAAGGAAGATTAATTTATATTTATAAATTTCTCTTTCATATATCACATTTTGCTAAGAATCGAAATCAGCTAACCTTGACCATGATTTTTGACATTTGTTTTAGAAAAGATGATACAAACAAAAAATGGATGCCTGGATTGGTATATATTTTTTGGCCTAATTTCATATTAAATGATGCAAATAACAGTTTTCTAGATAATAAAGAAATTGTAAACCTTCTGTGATGTTCAAAAGTCTGCCCTTCTGAAACCATCCTTATAAATCTGTACAAATATTTTTCACTTCAAATCCAATTTTAGTTAAATTTTGAATTACAAAAATCGTGAAACTTATTCATTTTACTCATTTAAACATGACCCAAGTTGTTATTTTCAAATTTTTTGACCGTTCACGGTATCTCAGTCGCTAGAGCGCTCGCTCCGTGATCGGGAGGTCGTGATTTCGTATCTCGGCAGCGACAGACTTAAGTCGATAAAAATGGGTAGCAACTGTTCCTTCGACATGCGCTTTGAAGTGAAAGCTGCTGGTTCTTCGGATGAGACCTTAAAAACCAAGGCCCCGTGTCAGCGGCAGGCGTTGGCACGATAAAGATCCATCACTGCTCAATTGCCATGAGTGCCGAGTGAAAATTTGAAGCCCTTCACCGACATACGGTGACGTCGCCATATGAGTGAAAAATTCTCGAGAGGGACGTTAAACAATGTACAATCAGTCAATCAAAGAAATACGCACGCTAACTCTCGATTCCCGCCTACATTTTGGAACCATTTAATTCAATATAAGTAGCAATTTGGCCATAAAATCTTTGATACAAAGAAAAGTTCATTGGTAATTGAATAATTGTCTTAATACCAGCGCTAAACAGTAAATTATCCATAATTCCAGCTCTTGAAAAAAGGAGGTAGACGATATTTTCCACTAAAATCGGAGTTTCAAGCATTACCATATTTTGAAATAGTCTTGGAAATGTTTAAATGTTCCTAATATCTTTTCTTATGTTTTTGACAAATAAATAAAACATAAATATTTCAATAGAATATAATGTTTCAGATAAAAATCGCTTTGAAATTGGTGAAAATAAGCATTTTTATCGTTTTTTTTTTCATAAAACATATGTCCCCCCCCAATGTCACACAAAAAGCTTTGGTACGAATTTATGAAATAACATTCCAAATTACCTGTTAAAAGGAATTTTTGTGACTAGGGAGGGGGGGGGGGGAGAGATGTTTTAAAAATATTTTCCGTTTTTTGTTGATTTCTATAGTGAAAAACACAAGTTTTACCAAAATTTTAGAGTTATCTCTCTTTGTTTTTCCAAATAAGTAATGTTTTATGAAAATCCGTATAATTATCTATAAAAAATATTTAAAATTAATCGAATATATCAATTTTTGAAAATTGACATGGATGTAGGCGGGAGAACAATACTATCGTTCGCAGTTCTTTTTGACATAAGTTTGTTTGTATCACCGGTCCTTGATTTAAAGTCCAAATCATGCTCTGTTTTGTAACAACGAAAAAGAAGTAAGGTTAAGTTTAAATGAACTCTCTGCATGAAATTCTATCTGTAGACCACCTTTATCTTGATTATCATTTTTTAAAGGGTTTGTTATAGACCAAAAAAAATGTTTTTATACTTTATTGTTCAAATTTGACATACATGAACAACCAACGGCATCTTTTCAATCCAATGACAAATTAAGAATAATAATGTATACAAAAGAGATAGAGATACGTCAGGTGCGTTTATGCAGATATTTTAAACTGAGACATAGATTACATACATAACAGAGGATTTTAATGACTGAAGGTAAATACCAATGATTATTCAATAACTCAATTAAAAGATTTCTTACGAGAAAAGGTAAAATGCCGAAACAATGAAACAAAACAAAAAAAAAAAAAAAAAAAAATCGAAAAATTCCATTTTCATTTTGTAAATAAATGTTTGACCTGCTTCAACGAAGTCAAGAGGTAGCTGGACAAAATAGGTAAATAATTGGATTCAGAATTTTGCACTTAAAAGTAGAAAAAAAATTAATCATTCCTTATCTGCGCGTCTTTTTTTTTTGGTGTGTAAGGAGAAATAATCATCTGACCGTACAAGATAACTCTTAACTTCATAAATTATTATAATTATTTATATCCGTAAGTATGGGAAATA